TTAATCATTAAAACTGTCCTATTAATTGGTTTTGAGACTGTCTCATTGCTATTTGTTTCTCAATAAAATTAATTAAAAAAGGAAAAAAAAGAAAAATCATTCTGCAATTTAAAATCCTGGAGAAATGACTTCGTAAGTGTAATTTTTGGGTATCACTTTGGTTCTGATACAAGTAATATTAATATAATAATAATAATAATAATAATCCCAGTCATCTCTTTCAACAGAAGCCAGGAGAAAGATAGGATAAGTAGAAATATGGGTAGTTGGGACTAAAGAAAACAGAAAATGGGGTAGGATGAAGGTAAGCTGTGAAAATTCATTATTCTTTCAGACAAAGGAAGAAGGACCTCAAAAAGTTGTTGGGAGATAATCAGGGCTGCTACTCTTACTTTTAGCCCAGCATGCTCATGGGGGTGGAGGAATAAGGCAGCTTTTACCTTAGCAAGAGCAGATTTATGTGATCAGGGGATTGCAGAAAGCCACATTGGTGACAATCCACTAAGCCAAAGGGGCAAAGCTACACCACAGAGCAAAGGGGATGATGCTGCCACCAACTGGGTTTGAATAGCAGAGTTTGAAGCAAAAGAGGGTTATTCTCAAGTTTTAAGATGTAATGGAATTTGAAGTTTCAGATTTACTTTAGACCTATCACTCCTGTCTTCCTTTTAATCTTTTCCTTTAGAAATGAGAAGTACCCATCCTTTGCCTGTGCCACTTTTCTGTTTTGTAAGCTTGACTTACCTGGCTTTACAGTTTTTGGTTTAGGATCAATCATACCTGGTCTCATTCATATCCAATTCATGTACAATTTAGAGAAGACTTTGGACTTTAGAATTGATGCTGGTACATATGAAGACTTTTGGGGATGTGGGGTGGATGTATGTATTTGCTATGTGAGAAGAACATGAATTTTGAGGTCTAGGGACAAAAGGTAATGTTTGTATTCCCCTTCCCACAAACTCATATATCAAAGACTTAACCGCCTGTGTGACTTGGAGATGAAGCCTTTGAAAAGTAACTAGAATTCTAAGACAGGATTCTCCCTGTCTTAGCTACTTTTCTCTTGTTGCTGAGACAAAATATCCAACATTCAAAGTTAAAGGAGTAAAGGTTTGTTTAGCTCACAGTCTATAGAGATTTTAGTTCATAATCAGCTGACTCCAAGGCAGAGTCGCATGGCAGAGGGGCAACAGTTCTTATTGGCTGGGGTGGCAAAAGGCAGCAAAAGCAGCAAGAACAAAAGGGAAGAGTAAGTCTCTTTTCCTTCCTTATATTGTAGGCAGGATACTGCCTCAGGGTAGGTGTAGCACTTTCACTCCCAATCCCAGCAATAGACAATCAAAAACTAGATTCAGCTGCTACTGAAAATCCTGCTCCCTGTGACTGCATGAGGCTTTGCAGGGACATCCAGATACAAATCACAACACTCCTTAATGGGATAGTATTCTTATAACAAGAGGAAGAGCCAAGAGTTCTCTTTGTATGCTACGCAAGGATACTGAAAGAAGGCAGCTGTCTACCAGCCAGGAAGGAGAGCCTCACCAGGAACTGAGTCTGCTACTACCTTGATCTAGACTCCTTAGCCTCCACTCTGTGAAAAACAAATGTCTACTGTTTAAGCTACCCTGTCTAAATTTACTTTTAATAGCAAGCTGAGCTGACTAAGCTTATTTTGCTATGGCTGAGGAATTCTTTATATTTTTTAAATTTTTAAAAAAATCTTTTTGAGACAGGGTCTCACTATGCAGAGAGACCCTGAGCCCACTTTGTAGTATCGGCTGGTCTCGAACTTGCAATGATTCTCCTGTCTCAGCCTCCTGAGTGCTGGGATTACAGATGTGCACCACCACAACTGGCATATATTTTTAATATTAAACCATATTATGATTTGTAAATATTTTTTTCCATTTTGTATGCTGCCTTTTCACTTTGTTGGTTGTGCCATTTGATGTGTAGAAGTGTTTTTTATTTTTTCTGGTACTGGGGATTGAACTTGGGACCTTGTGCTTGCCAGACAGGTGCTCATGTCCTTGAGCTATCTCCCCAGCCTTAGAAGTGTTAAATTTTTATGTGATCTAATTTACCTATTTTTTTCTTATTATTGTTACCTGTGAACATTGGTTTTTAGAGGCACATTTGGTCTAATCATATTGAAAGATATTTTTAACTTAAGACTTTCTCACCAAATGATATTTGGTTACAATAAGAAATTATTTGGGGCCTGCCCTTAGCTCAGTTGTTTAAGTGCCTGCTCATGCAAAACAGTCAGGAGCAGGATACCGTGGTTCGGTCCCCAGCTCCACCTGTCTTACCAGACCTGCCTTTCAGGCAGCCTGAGCCACTAAAAAAAAAAAAAAAAAAAATCCTAAAAAATAAAATAAGAAATTATTAAACCAATGTCTTCTTAATTACCTAGAATTGGACTTTAGTTCTAATGAACTGATGTTTTCTATTCAATTTTCTGCTACCAACCACATTTGAACCCACAAATTGACAAGATGATTTCAGACACGTTTAGTAAAAGGACTCAGTGTTGGTTTATTTTGTTGTAAATTACAGAGAATTGCCAGAACAATCTTTAGAAGCAAGATATACAAGAAATCAACTTCTTAACAAACCATCTAGCTATAGAAGAGATTGTAAGAAAATGTCTGTTTTGAGTCAAACTAAAGCCATTACACTTAGAAATAAAATTACACACAGAGTGTAAGAAATTATAACAAGTTACAAATTATGACTTTTTAAGGGCTGGCCAGATAGCTCAGCGGATCAAAGCACCTCCTTAGAAAGACACAGGGGCCAGGGGTTTGGTCCCTGGCCTGCTGTGCCGGCCCCACCCCTGGGGCACATTGAGCCAGTGACTGAGACTGGGTTTGGTGGTGTGCGCCTGTAATTCCAGCGCTTGGGAGTCTGAAAAACAGGTGGATCACTATGAGTCTGATCAGTATAGTGAGACCCTGTACTAAATATATATATATATATATAT